GAAGCAATTCTTATCTAGCTTTTGGAGGAGAGAGAAATAGTTTTGGTATCATCTGTTATCATGATGGGTTGTAAGTTGATGGCATCAAATTTTATAATGGCATTTTTAAAGTACCTTCAAGTTTTTGTTACATTTTAGTACTAGGGTTTTTTTTTGCTTTTTGTAAATACATAGTTTGAAACTCTTCAGTTGTGATGTCTGTGGAATCCTTTCAGGTCCCCATTGAAAATTCCTAGTTGTACCCTTAAAAATCCATTTACTTTAAAGTCAGTCAGGACTTTGTAAATTGGCTTTTAAAGTTAACTCCATTGTAAATTAACAAGAAATGCATGCATGCACCTGAAGGGAAAAAGAAAGCTTTTCTGCTGGTAAGGGTGTGCTGGATAAGACTTAGTTTCTGGTAGCATTGATGACTTGATTTTCAGTAATATAAAAGAAGAAAACCATGGCAGACTCGGTATACTATGATTTGTTGATATTTTTTGTAACAGAACATACTTGTATATTTATGCATATAGTTTTGTGAATTTTGTAATTTTTTTCCTTTGTTTTTTTGTTTCTGTTTCCTTTAAAGACAGTGTATACAGGGATTGATCACCACTGGAAGGAAGCGGTTTTTGCCACCTGTGGCCAGCAAGTGGACATTTGGGATGAACAAAGGACAAGTCCCATGTGTTCTCTGACATGGGGTTTTGATAGCATAAGCAGTGTAAAATTTAATCCCATTGAGGTAATGTTTCTGTTATATATCAGAAATCAGTATTTGTTAATTGTCTGGAGCAGTATAAGATCTAAACTCTTTACACCATCTTTCTTTTTTCCTAAATTTAGATTTTGATATATATTTTAACAGATTATTTAGGGGATGTATACATAGATTTTTATGGCTATATTGTTTTGGAATGTAGTAGCATATATTTTAATCTCTTTTGTCTCTGTTGGGGGGGAGAGGAGAAGGCAAGGCAGGGCAGGCTCCATTCTCCCCACAGCAATACCTATCTGGTACCTCAGTAACACAGTGTATGAGGCTGTGGAGCTGTCGCCTGATCTGTTGCTGTACTACCTGTGACCAAGACTTTTCTCCCTCTCCATGACAAAACAATTGCATTTGATCTTTTACAGCACTTCTTTATGACTCCTGGCTGGGCTGTGTTCGTAGATGAAGCGTTCCTCAGGAATTGCCTGTTAGAGAGCACTGGGTGGATTCTGAATCTTACAGAGAAAGCTATTTAAAAATGTTTGTGCTGGATAAGTAGCTGCACAGAAGGAATGATGAATGTATTTCCTTGACTGAAAAGGAAACTATTTGGCTAGCAGCCTTGTGGAATAGCTTAGGTAGCTAATGCTAGGTGTTCACCACACTCCAGAAGTATTTCCAAGACCATATGCAATGGGTTTTTGGTTGGTTTTTTTTTCAGACATACCTTTTGGGAAGCTGTGCTTCTGACAGAAATATTGTGCTGTATGATATGAGAAAATCAACTCCATTAAAGAAGGTAATATTTCTCTTTTAGCATTAATTAATGGCACTAATCATCATATTGAATATGTAAATAGCCTGTAACTGTTGATGCCTGTAGAGAAGGGGAAGCTCTGAACTGTGAGTTCACTGAGCTTTCATTGACTGAGTCTTTTACCTGAGTTTGAATTAATGCTGGGATTTAAGCAATGCAGAGTTAAAAGGCCCTTTTCTGCATTCAGATGGGCTGTCATGCTCACTCTGTTGTAATTCTTGATAAAGTGCCTGACCTGACAGCAATTTCACAATAAGAACTTTATGTTCCTGCATTGCATTCTGTCTCTGTGATTTATTTTTTTTAATTTAAATTTTTTTCTCCTCCTTGCCAGAAGGAAACAAGGTAACTTCTAAGACATTTCCACACTGGAGAGCCTTGCTCTGCATTTGAAAAGGTGTTTTTCCTTTTCAGGGAGATAAACCCTCCCCTACGCACCTGCTATAAACATTCAGAAATCATTTGCAGTGTAATCAAAATTGTATTTATGTGTAGAATTTACTGATGACGTGAAGATTCCTGTGTATTTATTTTAAACAAGAAGTCAGTAATTAATGTACACATATTAAACCTCAACCAAGTTCAGTAGTTTTGAGCCCAGAACTATTAATAATATTCTTCTGGAAATACAATGTTCTGGCTTATGAATATACACTCAGTGTCCTTCTGTGATTGATGTTGATCTTACATACACTAGAACACTATAATGGTACTTAACCTAGTTATAAGATAGGAATGTTGTTGGCAGAAGAATATTTCTTTCTCTCCCTGTGCCCGAGCAATTTTTAATGAAGTTTTGTTTGGACCACTGAGACAGTACTTATAAAAATTTGTTGGGAGACCTGAATGCTGAAATGAACACAGCCAGTGCTGTAGAGCTGCAGTTACAAGTTAGAAAGATGTAGTTGAGCCTTAGTGAATGTAGTTTAAATCTAGCAGAATTTTACATATGTATATATGCCAAATATATAAAGCTATACATGCATATGCATATGTACACGTGTGTGTATATATATGTGTGTGTGTGTGTGTTTCTTACGTAAGCGGCATGCTTAGGTGCTATTCTTGCTGTAAAACACTTAGATGTACCCATGGCTGCAGTACTGGCTTTCCTCTGGGGATAGGGATGATTCTCCTGTGGAGAGGAGTTAGAATGTCCATGTCTGAGCTAAGAGCTCTAACTCCTAAGAGAAGGGTACTGCTTGCTAGGGGTACTTTACTTATGTATGGGCACTAGTTTCTGGCACTTCTGTGTTCTTGGTGTTTGACCAGCAAAGCAGTTGGAACTCAGTGGGAGTCCCTTTCTTAATGAAAATAGGAGTGCAACTTCTCATATCATGAAGCAGTAGTTCTCTTGCCCATTTGTCTTGTCTATGGGTTTCGAAGTCTTAAATTTCAGAGAGGGAGGGATACGATAGTGGAATACTGACTTAAGTGCAAAAAAAGAACTAGTCTAAAAAAAGCTAGGAAAATATGAAGGGAAGAAATTCTGTTGCATGACAAGAGGAAGATGCTTTAGTGGGAGTTGGTACACTTTACAACTGGAAGTCCTTCTTGTGTAACCTGTGGGATAAGGAAAGCTTAGGGTGTTTTAGAGATAGATCTTAGCATTTAAACAGATGACAGGAATTGTGGTGTCTGTTGCTTGTTACGTTTTTAGCTGTTTCCTCAACCAAATACATTGTAGGTAGTAAAGGAGGACAGATTATTTATTTGAGTGCTCTGGTTTTGTGTTAAAGTAATATCAGTGTCTCTGGGCTGACACTGTTTGCAAGCAAGTGCTCACAGTTAAGTAAACCAAGTCTTCAGAGACTTCACAACTTAGACTTGTCTTCATAGGCACTTACTCTTAGGAATTTTGTAAGATCTGCAATAGATTGAAAATAAGATCAGAATCTGGCTCTGCTGCTACAGGTTTAGATAGTTCTGAAATGCCATTATTAATATATTTACAGCAACTTAAATCACTTTCAGCCCAGGGTGACTTACATAGTTGTTACTTAACATAATGCTAGAACTGTACAGAGACTGTGTTTCTTCAGCACTGTTTTAATTCCCAAAGCCACTGCTGAGATAAACTGAGTGCTTGCAAATTTCAGTGAAAGAATAGTGATGTGAAACATGGACTTTGACCAAACTTGACTCTTTTGAAAGAGCTGCATTTTGGCAATATTAAAGTTGTTTTGTGATGTAATTGAAAATATTTATTATACAAGTGGTGTGTTAACATCATTTGTGCTCATTTTGTAGTGGCTGATAAACTTGTACAGGGAAGAATAAAGAACATACCTTGATTATTAACTTCCCAGATATGTCCAAGGTTTATAACTAGAAGAACAATACTGAAATCTGAACAAACTTTAGTTGTCACATTACTGTAAACATAGGACATTTCAGTGGCTGCTTTTTAAACTAGAGATGACTTTAGACATCAAATGGTTACATTCAGTTCTGGATGCACATAGTTTCTGAAAAAGTGATATTCTGCAGCACAGACTTTAGATTGAACAGAATAATGCCACCTAGGAAACGAGGACTTAGGGAGAATGGGAGTTAGGAGAAGATGCATATACTCATAAAATCATAGTCTTTTGGGAGGACTCGTTCAGTAGAGTCATCACTATTAACTTGCTTTGAGATTGTGTTCATTACTGTAAGAGCTATATTTTATTATGTATGTGGTGTTTGGTGTAGTAAGAAAAAAACAAAAATGAATTTGGAGTACCATAGCATTAGACACCCAAATTTCAGGATTCTCAAGTAGGATTGTAGCTGGCCTGGAGCACTGTAGAAAATCCTGTTTAGAATTGTTCAGCTGTTAATAAGTTGCTCTGTAATTATACAGCCACTTTGTGTCAGGCATTCTGTACAGTTTTTAAATACAGTGGTTGAAAGTTCCTCCAAGACTGGGCAGAAGCCAAGGGTGCAGTGTGTGGTGTCAGATAATGTCGTCCCTGCTTTTCCTTCTTGCAGAGGGCCCAGCTGTTACTGCCATGGCTGTCCTCCAGGGTGGGGACATCTGATGTACAGCTTCTTGTCTAGGCAGCACTTAGCAAAGTAGAAGGGCCTTGTTAGTCTGTTATCAGCTGCTTCCTCCCACTTCAGGGCCAACTGGCCTCTCTGGTAGCCATATGCTTACTAGCAGCAAGCAGATCTGACAAATGTGGAGCAAATGATTCACTGCTGATAGAGCGATAGTGGTGAGTAGATTACAGCACAGTAACTTCTGCATACATTGCTTGGCACTTCTAACAAGAAATGGCAACTGTCCAGGAGAATTCATGAACTACACTTTCAGAGATAAAATGATGAGGGGATAGTAAAATGTTATAGTTGCTTTGCAAATGCCACTTCACAGCATCAATTAATGACTGTATCCCTTGAAATAACCATTTAATTAGGCATGTCTGTGGATTACTTAACTGAAGGCTCCTGTAAATATGCTGAAGTGAAATTTTTCAGAAGTTTCAGGTTTACTTGTTGACCACTAGCATGTTGTCATGCTAAATAGCCACTTAGAAATATTTGATTCTAAGGTGATTTACAGCAGAAAATTTAATTGCTGTGAAGCCCAAGCAATGAGTGTATGATGAGGGACAGGAAGTTCTTGAATTTCAATTCTAACACTGCTAAGGAAACATTCTGTCATGTCACAATTCCTCTGGCATAATTCTGTATCTAGATAGTGCTTGTATCCTGTGGTGTATGGGAAATTTTGAAACACAGAGTATTTTACTGCTTATAACAAGGTAGCAATGTATAAATATCTTTCAGGTTATCTTGAACATGAGGACCAATACACTGTGTTGGAACCCTATGGAGGCTTTCATTTTTACTGCAGCAAATGAAGATTACAAGTAAGTGTGACATTGATAATCCTGATCATGTTAAGTTTTTAAGCTGTATATTGGTGATTTATGATCATGATAAATAAATTTTTAAAAGACTACTCACACTCTGAATTTGAATTGCTTAATAGCCTAGAGAATTACAGGCTTTTAAAAACAGGATTTTAAAAAATGTGAATTGATAGTAGACTGCCTCTCTCTGTATTTCAGTACCTGGGGGAAAAAGAGCAGCATAACTTAGACAAAATGCAGCTGAACCAGTGCAAGTGTAACTTGCTTTGGGACCTGGAAAATAAGTACTGTTGGTCCAGTCTGAGGCAATATACGTGTTTATTTTCTTGCTGGCTCTTGTAAAGCTTGATATATTGTACTGATCAGCTTTCTGATGAGAACATTTCCTAAAAGAAAATAAATGAATCTTTTGTGAAGCAGTTCCAGAGACTTCAGTACTTATCCTTTCAATGTCTCGGAGCAGTTCTTTACTTTTGAACAATACTATTCATGTGAACAGCTAATCTGATATTGAAAAAGCTGTCTCTTCAAAACTAGGCCATTGCAAATGTGCTCCATATCCTTTCTTCCAGGAAGTCAGTGATCTAACAATAGATCACTGTTTTCTTCTAGCACATAGGAATTTTATTACTTATCTTAAGGCTGGTTTTCCAAGGAAATGGAATCCAGCTCAGACCTTGAAAGTGGGCGTTAGATCCAATGTGCTGTTTTTCACATATTTGGGTTATGGTATGGGTTGTTTATAAGTTTGATTTCTGGTTGTTTGGTTTGGTTTTTTTGAAAATTTTTTTCCCTCTTCCCCTTGCTAAACTAAACCCAACAGCAGTTTCCAACAGGATGACTGTCCTCTTGGAGCCTAAAGCCATTAGTATGCAATGGCAAATGCTGATATCAGCAATGCACATGCAAGTGTTTGCTGATTATAGAGAGTGGCAGCTTTGAATGATGCTGCATACTTTCTCTTGCAGAATTGAGAAGGAGAAAGCAATAGTTGCCAGTATACTATTCAGTAAGAGACATCTAATTAATTTCAGTTATGCATTAGTCTGCAAAAAGGAGGGTGAGAAACCTGCAGAGTCACAAACTTTCATTATAGTAATTCTACTAAATAGTATATCTTAAGCAGGTTTCATTAAATGCTTTGTAAAGCACCTTTGCCTATTGGCTATTTGCACTAGGCAGATAAATGATCTATGTAGTGATTATGCTTTGCTGTGTATCGCTGGGTTTGTTGATTCAGTGGCTGTACAGGTGGACCTTATTTGAGCTTTGAAGTTCTCAAGTGTGGCCCAGCTGTGGCCCAGCGGCTGTGTTTATTTTTAGTGTAATGTTTTTCTACAGATCTTGTGCTCTGCTGAGCTAACATCTCCATGTGTTGAAGGACCAAGCTCTCCTACATTGTCTGGCCTGTGATAATCAGGCAGTAGGAAAGGGTGCCAACCAAATGGAACTTTACAGTACACTCTGAATTACTAGCTATTCCCAATATGGGACTATTTAGTAACCTTTCAGAGTTGATAGACTTGCTGTAATGATTTAGAGATGCTTGTCTTAAGTTCAGGGTACATACTTAGGTCTGAAGATGGACTAAAGGAGGACAGTGTGGTGCTTAGAAAAGTAGGTTTGGTCTGTGACCTATGAATGGATGATGAAGGGAATAGTGGAGCCTGTCTGTCCTTTGATAGTGAGCAAGAAACCTCTAGGCTGATCCAGTAACTAATGCCTCTGGCTAAGACTAATTTCAAGCCCTAAACAAAGCTTCATTCTTCCTTTTCATGTGTTATGAGCTGTTTTAAGGAGTTCCCTCTGCAATATGGATCTGTTCTTAAGTGTGGTTTATGTAAAGTGTGCTGTTTGCTTAGGAGTTGTTATGATGTTAAGCTGTTGATGTATTTATTTTGAAGCTTATATACTTTTGATATGCGCTTTCTGGAATCACCTGTGATGGTGCATATGGATCATGTGTCTGCTGTTCTTGATGTGGATTATTCACCCACTGGGAAGGAATTTGTCTCTGCCAGCTTTGATAAGTCTGTCCGCATTTTTCCTGTAGACAAAGGTCGCAGCAGGTGAGTGGTTTTACACCTTTCTCTCTTGATGTCATTCATTCCAGTGACTTCCCTCCCAAGTCTGCAAAATAATAAATTCACTCATCAACATCTCCATTGGGGCATTCACTTCCTGTGAGTGTTGAAATCTTACTCAGTAGATAGCTCAAACTGACAGCTGTGTGGCTGACATAATGCCAGAGTATGTATGAAGGGTAGAACTACTTAACAAGTAGCAGTACTTATGCAGTATGGAATAAAACTTACAGTGGATTATTGTTCTTGGGTGTAATCATTTGTATTTTACCAAAGTGAGTCCCATTTTATTTCCCTCTATATGTATCTTTAATGTTCTTAGGCCACTTTGTACAGTATCTGTCACCAGACAGTTTGCAGTGCATTACAAGATTGTAGCATTTGGTTTTCTAGGGACTGTCTTCATCCTATAGGGATGATTGCCAAGGATGTCATTGTTGTATGAATTCCTGAGGGACTCTTTTGTGATCTGTTTCAGTACACTTTTACCTTTTGTTCATGTTTTGTTAACCAGGTTTTGATTCATGTGACAGTGCTTTGAATACAACTCACTTTGATTTAGTTTTTCATGTAAGGTTTCATAAGTCAGTATATTAAATATTTTGCTGAAGTTCAGATTGTATCTACTGTGTCTCCATTAATTTTTATTCTTTCATTTTGATGAAAACTAAAGTTATCTGATCTGTCTGGTATCGTTTGATCTTCATAAACCTGCCTTCAGTATTCTCTCTTGTCAGTTCTTCCTCTTTTTTCTTTATTCTTAACTTTATTTTACTTCTGTTTAACTTCCTCTCTCCAACCTCGGCCCCCCAAAGGGTTGTTACTAGATTGAGTTCTAGGTGGTTAAAGAGTGGAAATGTTGAAATGTTGATTGGTGATGGAGTATAGTTTTACTATTGGTTGATGAAATTATGTATGCAGCGTAACCATTTGTGCTCCTGTGCTGCATTAAAGAGTGAGAGGGGCTGTTTACATTCCCTCTGTATCTAATCTGCAGACAGTTTTCATTTTCTCTTTGTTTTACAATAATATTTTAAATGTAACTAGGTATTGCAGTTCCTTTGTAGGTTTGTTTTTGGATTTTTTCCAATTGCATTGTTAAACAATATGGTTAGCAGCTCCTTTCTATGGATTAGTAATATTCACAGAAGTGTTGATACGCCAAGTTAAAGCACATCATTGAGGGGAAACTTGCAGACCCCATAATGCAGCAGTGAAAGGCTTTATTCCACGTTATAGCAGATTGTTGCCAAGGCCTGTGGAAGGAATTTTCTTCTTTGTCCCCACTTCTTTGCCCTGTTGTTTGTTGTCTATAGATGTAGTGAGGAGAAGCCTTACAAATGAAGGGCTTTGCCTCATACAGGGTGTTCTGGGATGCTTAGAAGTCTTTAAAAGCTGTACTTTTTTAGAATTTCACAGTTGATATTAATCTCATGGAATGGAGAAAAGTCTCTAAATAGAAGATCTGATCCTGGAAAACTGAGAGGGCAGTTAAGCATGTCTCTAAATAAGGTCCTGACAGTATTCCATTTTTGACTTCTGATCTCCTGCCAATCTGAAAAACTACTAACTTCAATCACTTTCTATTTTATTTTAAAATGAAGATTTAAGTAATGAAATTGTTCAGCCCTAAGAACTAAGATTTATTCTGAAGGTGACTAAATTTAGTAAATGCTTGGTAAACAGAACTGTATTTCTGTGTGAGCTTTTAAACGACAGATCCAGGTTATTTGGCCATGCTTTGTGTTTTTCCTGTCCCTGAAAAAGATATTTAATAATTTGTGATGACATCAACAGGAGAGGCAATGGCTGGAAATTCAGAATAAGGAAAGGAAATGTACTTAGTTCCCCAGAAGTGGGTGAGGAAAAAGCTTTGTTATTGGGTCACATAGTAGAGTGAAAATAAACATAGAAATGCTTCTGGAAGTGCAGATGTGCATACATGATATTTAACTCAGCAGCAGTACAAAGCTGATGTGAGTATTAGTGTTTTCTGAAGGAACTCATGCTTAGTGTTCCACATGGTTGTTCTCTTAAAGCATCACTTGATGGTGAATTACAAGATGTGATTAAGCTTAATAAGCTTATTTAAGCTGATACATTTATTACTTTTATTTTTCTCACAATCCCTGCAGCTCAACCCCAGTCTAGTTTTTCCACAGCTGTTGAATTGGTGTTGTTTTCAAATTTCATTGCCATTGCTACTTGGATTTTCCTTATAAAAATACCTGAGTAGGTCAAGCTGTAGTTCATGATTGATGCATCAAAAAAGTGACTAGTGGTGGACAGTAAGTAGGCCTTACTTTTTCTTCACTTTTGTAATGCTAACAAGTAACTAAAATTACCAGCGAAATGTACTTATTCTTTTACCTCAGATATAAAGTACTAAATTTGATACATAGTTAATGAAAATTAGATAGGAGTTTAATTTAAATATTGGTTTAAATGTAGCATGCAGAAACATGTTTCAACAGGTGTCAGCACTTATGGAGCAGGAGTCTGATCAGCAGAAATTAAATGTAGTTTATGCCTTAATAGCCACACAGCTGTTCTTAATCTAGTTGACACTAGCTGCTGGTTCTTGTTGAGTTCTTCTTTTGCAGAGCTGGAGACTTTTCTTTGATTTTTTAAATTTTTTTTTAGCTTTTAAACATTTTTCCTAGGAGTCCTTTAGACAATGAGAAGGAAATCCATTTTTGGGTAAAAGAGTGAAATCAGAATGAAGAGTAGCAAATCCATCGTTGTATCCTAAGTGGACAGCTGGGAGGTGTTTATTTATTTACAGTTCCTTTTTTTTTGTTCTTTGGCACCCATTTTCCTGCAGTCCCATTCTGTAATGCTCTCAATGTAAAAGCATTTAACTCAAGATTCTGTCAGGAACAGTATGCTTATCATGTTGTTTGCTCATGGCATGTTTTGCAAAAAGAGTTATTCTTTAGCTATTTCTGTAATTTCTATGAAAGCACTTAAAGAGCATCTTCTCCTAGGTGGTCCTTCATGAGTCTAACTGCCACACTTTGTGTCTGTATAGAGAAACAAGATCAGCACGGTGTTTAAGAAAGTCAGACTTTTTTTGAAAAAATCAACAGCAACAAAAAGTGAAAAAAAATACTTTGCCTTGAACTGAAGCCTTTCTGCGATTTGACAGGTAACGTTAGTGAGAAAAGTGGCAATAGATCATTCAGAAATGTTTCTCTTTGCTGTAGGGAGGTATATCATACCAAACGAATGCAGCATGTCATCACTGTGAAATGGACTTCAGATAACAAATATATTCTGTGTGGCTCAGATGAGATGAATATTCGTCTGTGGAAAGCTAATGCTTCTGAAAAACTGGGAGTGGTAAGAGTTGCATTTGGCTTTTTGTTTTCACAAGGTATTTTGGGGTTTATTGTAGTTACTATAACCAGTTAGCCTGTTTGATTTCTAAAAACTTGTTTATAAATGGAAAATGTAAAGTTGTAGTTTGACATTTGTGCTTAATTTGCAGACTGACATGCTCAGTATAGCTCACTGCATTTACTGTAGCTTGGAATAATAGTATAATTACATGCCTCATTATTGCTACACAAAGTGACTTTTTTGGTCTTGTTGAACATTAACAATAATCATTAGTTCTATCTAAACTAAATTAGAGTTTTTTACCTGAGTGTTAAAGGTTAGAATTCATTCTTTTGCACTAGAGAAAAGTCAGTAGATTCTGCTTTGCCATACTTCAGTAATTCTATTGAAGTTTAGGGTTGCTATTACAAATTTTGTCTGGCATGTGACTGGTTTGTGTTTGTTCATGAAGTTTCTTCAAAAAAAAAGACTGTGATAAGCATATGCATTGTGAAATAGACCATTGGCACTGGTGCATTGCTGAGATTGTCATTAACCTGTATAACTCTCAGACACCAAGTGGGCAAACCAGAGTGGTGCCTGAAGTCCATTTAATTCAATGTAAGTCTGTTTGGTCGACGTTTCATACTAGGAACAGACACCAGGATAAGTCTTTTCAGTTGTATTTGTTCAAATGTTTGTTAAAGACAAAGCCAAAATGTTCCCTTAAAGTTACCAATTGTATATATTCATCTGCACAGTTCTACTGAAGTAGTGAGTGACTTTGGAGAATGAATTTGACACTCCATCTGCTGGGAGTAATCCCTTTATGTAGCTTTATATTGTTATGGTGTGTTGGAGGTGCTTGCATTGCTTTTTCTGAGCCATTGGCATAGCTGTCAGATAATGCCTGGAGGAATTTCTGCTTGATCTTGTGAAAGATTGTGGGGAGAGGAAAGGAAAGCTTTAATTCAGGGAAGAATGTTGTACAGTTAAGGGGATGGAACTATTGCATAATTATGTCTAGGGCTGCTTGTGATTACGTGAAGCTCCATTGAGTTACAGGATCTGTGTAGGAGAGAAGTGGAGCAGAGCTGGGAGAGGTGGCAGGTGAATGGGAGTGGTAGGAGTACTCAAGGCTATACTGTTTTCCTACTGTTGTGTCCATATGCTTGTGGCAACACCCTTTTCACCTGATTTTACAGTATCAACTGAAACTTCCTCTCTTTATTCACTAGAGAGAGAGATCATGATGCCTGTCTTTAAGCTCCTGTTCTGTAACAGAATTTACTGGCATTTTTGATGTGCATATTTCCTCTGTCCCCTTTGTATAAAGAACAAGTGGGTAAAAAGAATACAGAAAATAGCATTTCCATATAGAAAGGTTCCTAATATTTTCAGATGTGAAAAGAAAGTTTGCTGTATTGACTACTAGGTGGCATTGGCTCCTTTTCTTAGGGGAGAGTAAGACTTGGCTCCAGGAAGTAATAGGCAAACCTAGATAACTTCTGCAGTGTAGAAATATTAGATACCAAAAGGACAACTTAGCTATTGTTTAAGTATTCAGAATGGAGACTGGTAAAAGTCATTCTGCTGGTTTCTGTAGTATTTGCATCAGTGAAACGTGGCCATGGATGGGCCTAGAAAAGACACTACCAGTTGTGACTGTTGGGTATTGGATATGGTCTGCGTGTTAATACTTCTGTGTTCCTTGACCTGACAGTGAATCCTGCCTGAAATAGCCTTTGTTGTTTTTCTTTGCAAGTAGTGTGGTTGCTTGATGTACCTCTTGGAGTCTGTGCCTATGGTTTGGTTCTGCCCTTAGGGGATCATACCAGTAAAGCTTTTGTAACTTGCATGGGTTAAGGTTTGTAAGCATTTCTGTCAAAGTGCTGTGGCTGTTGGCTCCCAAGAGAACTAAATCAATAGCTATCTGTGACACAGGTCAAGAGGCATGTGCTTGACTGTTGGATATTAATTTTTTTCCCTCGTCTTTTGCATTTTTTTTTTAATATTGGAGTTTTTGTACTGTCAGAAGCAAAAGTCATCTCATCAGTTAAAATACAAAACTTAGCATCCTGTCCTAGAAAAAAACCCCTCATGACATCAAGAGACATCTTAAGAAAGCAAAATTATTTAGAAATACAGGACAAATTTACAAGGGACATAGTGTATTGTGTAGAAAAACTGGTCCCACAAGGAGGATGCTGATGAACTTGTAAAGAATTACGTTACAGTGAGAAGAGATAATGTTTCACATCTCCATATCTAGTGTGGAAATGTGTTGAGGCCTTGAATTTAGCAAGACAGAATTTGAAGCTGTCTGAAGCTACTGTAGTTAAAATTTTTTTTTTGAAGCACTATGAAATTTTATTTTTCAGATGTTAAGGGAGTAATTGTCGCTAATAGGACTCAAGAGTAGCATCCTTATGGCTTATCATATTCTTGGATATACCTTGGAAATGTTGCTTGGATTCAGGCAATTGTGCCAATCCTTGTTTGATCCAGCCTGGCAGTTCCTGTGCTGCTTATGCATTGCAGCTGTTAATGGCTATTTAGCAGGTTCTACTGCTTTTCTTTGGTACCTACTTCCTCCTTTTCAGAGGATTGGTGTTCTTATCTTCACAGGCATATGCTTGCTCATTCTATAATGTCCAGTTCTTCCACAGTCTGTGGCTATTTTTTGAATGTTTTGAATATTCAAAGCTGAACATTCAGTAATTCTGTCAGAAGTGTCAAAATATGTCTTAAATGCTTAGTTGCTTGGTCTGCGGTTTTTCTTTGCTGAGTAGATTTGATTGAATGACTCATCCAAAGGTCACTGTATTTCTGATATAATGCTAACATCTTGCAATACATTGTATTTTAAGATGGATATTTTTGGGCTGGGGGTGGATGGAAACCAACATCCTGAAAGAAAAAGGAAAATAGTAATCAGACTTTTTTTTTTCCTTTGGCGAGTACTTAGTTGGTTTTTAGCACTGCTGTGTTCCAAGGAAGGATAGTGAATATATAGTACTCATGCTGTGGCTGGTGAACATTTATCTGGTTGGAAAGTTGTACTTTCTGAACCGTGGCTACTCCGAGCAGTCATCAGTTCTGACATGCATGTTTCTTTTGGGTTTTAATGTATTTGGCACTGCACTCATTATTCAAAATCAGTGAAACATGAAAGAAAGAATAAAAGTCTCTGGAGGAGCCAGAGGCATGTTGTGTCTCTACTCCACTGACAATTTAAGTCTGCACAGGTTTTATTGAGGGGTAACCAACCCCAAATCTCTCTGTTGGAACTACTGCACATGTTGCTTTAAAATAATTTGCAATGATCAGTTTTTAATAAAATCTGATGAACTGATAAATACCTATTATTAAACAGGACTTAGCAGTTGCTATTTTTAAAGCAGGAAGCATCTCTCTCTGCATGTCCAGAGGCAAAAGACTCAATTAAACAAGACTTTTGAGAAACTCCAGAATGATCAAATGCCATGCATAAAGTATGGCTTGTTAAGTATGTTTGAGGCTTTTTAACCTGTGCTCTTGAAGAGGTTTGGGATTTTTTAAAAGATAAATGAATTTGACTTTTGAGGAAAAGAGAAAAATGTGGCCTCACCTGAGTGAAAAGGCTGGAAAAGCAGTAAACTGTCGTGGAGCATAGGTTTGCTGCTTTCTTACAGGATGCAGTAACAACAGATTGTGAGTGAGGACTGAAAGAGATAGGAGAAAATGCAGTTACAGGTCCTGGTTTTGATCTAGCAAAGTGCATTAGCAGGAGTACATCGAAACTGTCTGAAGTAATTGTTTATCCTTTCAGTCTGTTTCTAGTGTGCAGTTCCATTCTCTGAGATAATGCTGATAACAAGCAGTTCAGATACTGTGTGATGTGGCATTCTTTTCAGAGTCATTTTTGGGCTTGTGATTCAATGCACCTGTAACTTCATCGCTTTTGCTATGATTTTGTGCTCTTAACATCTAAATTTCATTTTTTTTCTTTTGTTGTCCATTTGGGTGTAAAGAAGATGATGTTTTTTTGGCTACGAAACAGCAAACCTTTAGCATAAACTTTATGCCAATAAATTTAGAAAGGTGTTTTCAGCAGAGCAATGGAAAAATAAAGGCAAGTTAAGGTGTAGAAAACTGCTGGGATATGTTTGGATTCTAAAAATATATTGCATCTGTGCTCTTGTCTGCCCTAACCTAGAAGAGCAACCTGGAGAGGACAGATAAACATCCATTTCAAATTCTCATGCTGAATTACAGAAGTCTAATAGTGTGGAGTTTTAAATGCTGCACAGCATGAATACAGCCCTCTTGAAAAGGAGAAATTTTTAAAAAGATTTTAGCTTTTCAATCAGAACTCTGGAAAAATGCTTACCTTCCATCTGCTTAGATGGGAAAAATAACCAGCCTGTCATCAGGAGGGAGAAGAGAGGCATGGGCAGTCTGCTCGAGGAGGCCTTTTCCTATTGCTGACAACTTGGCTGCATTTAGAGGGTTCTTTTTCCCCCTTTTTTACTCTAGGTATTTGCTGAGAAGTACTCCTGTGCAAATGGAACAAATCAGCTACTTTCTGCCACATAATTTGTATTTTCCTCATATGGGAAGGATGTTGCACATTCGGTTTTGGAATGCATGAAAAAAGAGTCATATATCATCTTTGAGCATGTCTTCCACTCATGTCATATAAATCCTAATTTATTGTATTATGGCGTGTTCTACTCCCTATAAATGAAATCTCTAACCCTGCTAAATCATGGTGTGCATCTTCTCCAGCCCAAAACAGGATGGGAAGTAATGCTGTTCTCTTCAGCTGTTTACACTGACCTTTGTGAAATGACTTGCAAGAGAGAGGCTGGAGTTCAGTGCATTATTGCAGGCTGCATTTGTAGCTATCTGCTGTCTCTCATAAATAGAAACTTGTCATTTCTGTAAGATTTTCTTTTACCATCATGTGGATGAGGGTGCACTTAGCGCAGCCTGGTGTGTTGGCCGCTGGCATTCCGTGGTTGGGTGGAACATCACCAGCTGTGTGCCTTTCTGTACACCACATTGCTCACAAAAGTGGAGTCAGACTCAACCACTTCTTAGTCTATATTAGTTTTTTTGATACAATATCCTGGGCATATGTCTAATTTACAGATTCACCTCTTGAGTGTGGAATCATCAAGGTTATGCTAAATCAGCAGCAATTTGCTCTTCTTAAACTAAAGGAAAATCATTGCATTTAATTAAAATGAAAGCTCTTTCATTTGGATTATGTTGGCAGTTTTCTGCAGAGTGGGAACACCTGGGATTTATTGAGAGTGAACCAGCTATTCAGGGTGGCTTGCGAGCAGGAATTTCAGTAAAAGGGGGAGGATAGCTTTAGTGGGTTAAGATTGTAAAATTTACTCAGTTTCAGTTTGAAGAGGTCACAATAAATATAAGTAAAGCAGAAGGATTAGGGTTTTACAGACACGAGGGTGTGGAGAAATAAAAGTGAAGAGTATTATGTATCTCTGATGCCTTAATCAGAATTTTTTGAGCAATGAGCAACTCTGCATCTGAGACCTGGTTTCTTTATTGTCCCAAATGAGAAACTCCTTTGAGGTATATATTTTCAATACTTGCTTTCAGAGCATTTATGGTACTCTGGGCCAAAATCATCTGAGTATGATATTTATTTTTTCAGGGTTTATGAAATATTCTAACAGAAGTCACTTAGAAAAGTGATCTCCAGATCACAATTGGACAATAAATAGCCAATTGCTGATTTCAAAGGGGAAAGATGCATGTTTCCAAACTTTGTGTGTAATAAAGTTGTTGGTTTGGTTACTGATTTTTTGAAACTCAGGTTCTGTCTTTTCTTGAAAATGAGAAATCAGTGAAACGGAGTCATTTGCAAAGCTGAATAAATATAAGTTGTCTGAAGTATTGTTTTAATACTTTAGGTGCAGATGTTAATGTATGAAATAAATGTGGGAGGTCAAAGCCACAGCTTATTTGAAAATACAAAGGGTTTTAAGATGCCTGAAATACTGGAGGTATGGAGAGAGTATTTTGGGCAGGAGAGTAGGAAAAAAGAGGATGGGATTAGCATCTGTTAATACTTAGTATGGACAGATTCTGTGTTTATATGGAAACTCACTAGGCTGAAATGCAACTGAAATTCCCAGAGATCCAAGCAAATCCCAGATGCATAGAGATTCCTCATGAAGCGGTGCATACTTACCCGCACACATGTTTTTTTCTTTTGATAATTAAGCATTAGGACCAAAGGGAAGATGCCTAGGTGGAAAAAAAAAGAATCTTCTCTATGCTGGCTGTCAGGAGATGCTGTTTCTCACTTTCAGTGTTGTTAGTGGTGGCTCAGACATCATTTTAAACATGGATTAAAAGTCAGTCTTTTGTGGCAATACTAGCTCACCTTCATGTGTTTGTGATATTAAGGTTTTTTTAGCTGCTTGTTGAGAGTTGGGACTCCCTGTGTGCCATAGTCAAGCTAATACTTGACATCTGATATGTGCACCCTGCTTCCTAAGGGATCAAGGCACTGGGTAGGATTTAGGCCACCTAAAGAGCTGTCGGTAAAGCTTTTCATGAAGACAGTTCATTTATAGCATTTGCACTTAGGCTGGCTAGTGACTAAAATGCCTGTAAATCTTTGTTTTACAGGGAAAGTTGATCGTCAGCAGAGGTTAGGAAAGACTGATCAAAGAGCATTTACTGTCAGCTATTTATATTCTTGCTTGTTTCTCTGCAGCACATAAAAATCTGATTTTCAGGAATTAAATTCAGTTACTTCACTCAGCTTTGATGCTGTGATAAAGTTTTGTGTTTGAGCATTGGCATATTGTTGTCATTTTAGATTTTTTTAATACTTACCTGCCCTAATTCTGAAGACCCTGTGGTGACAACCATTTGCTAGTAAGAAGCTATTTGAATTGAAAGATAAAATTCAGTTTTGTAGAGGAAATTGACAGTTAAACCCCTGTTCTTCTGTAATGTGCTTGTCTGTGCTGTTTTCCCTGTAGCTTGCACCACGAGAGAAGGCAGCGATGAATTACAATCAGAAGCTGAAGGAGAAGTTCCAGTTTCACCCCCAGATCAGGCGCATAGCTCAGCACCGGCACCTGCCCAAGAGTATATACTGCCAGATCAAGGAGCAGCGCATCATGAGGGAGGCTCGGCGCAGGAAGTATGTCTTGCTCTCCTGGCTTTGTTCTCTCTGGGCCTTAGTGAAATGCATCACTGCAGTGCTGCTGGAGCAGCAGTGCATGGGAGGGATGGAGCTACAGTGTGTGGGAGGGACGGCTATGAGCTGCTTGTGACATCTGACTGAGTGATTGTGAACTCCTGGATTGGTTATAAGGAAAATGCAGACAAGTGCCAGTGAGGACTGGCTGCTTCCCAAAAGCACAGCGAAGACATGGCAGCAAATACCATGTTGGAAAGAGCCACAGTGCTTGGTTAAGCATGACATGATGTGGTGGGGGTTTTGTTTTCATTTTAATTTTTGTGGGTTGGTGTTGTTTGGGTTTTTAATAGCGTCAGACTCCCAGATGAATGTTTTTTTGTCACCTGGATCACTGCCATGTTGGAATTTCTAGGAGCAGGAGGTGGCATACTTTGCTGTAGCCATTAAATTAACGGTAAAGCTAAAAAGTGGTGGGTTATAGTCATATTTATCAGCTGAAAGGCTCTGCATACTTGAGCAGCCAGTCCTGTTGACATGAAAACCAAGTAAGCTAAGCTCCCAAGAAAAGGCTCAATTCGAAACTTTTCTAAATTAGCCAACTTTAATTTTAAAAGGGACAGTCCTTCTCAAAAGAGTATGTGGCTTTTCATTAATAAAAGCAGAGCAGTTCTTAACCTTTTTTTTTAATCTCTATTAGTAGCTTGAGGAGGAAACTGGTATTTGTTAGATGTTTGTGCTGACTACTGAATTTAATTTTTCTGGGTTTTTTTTGTGTTTCTAGGGAACTGAATCGTCGCAAGCACAGCAAACCAGGATCTGTGCCATTTGTGCCAGAGAAGAAGAAACATATTGTGGCAGTAGTGAAATAATTGTTTTCACATGTACAAAATGTCACAATGAAAGAAAAAGTCTTTATTGAATGAATACACTGTACAAAATTTGAGGGACATTGGTAATACAGCATATGGCTCCAGAAATGTGGCTTTTCTTCCAACTTTGTGCATCCTCTGGCTTCTCAAGTCATCTTCTGCTTTGGGGGTAGTCATGAGAATTAGCCCTGTATTTTTTTTATCGCCATTGGTCCTTCTGGTGTTACTGGCCCAACACTGTACTGCAGTTTGACCCTTTTGATACAAGCAGATAACTTGGTGGAGTATTTTTGTAGTTCCAGACCTATTCCTTGGTATTGTTACTACAAAAAAAAGGATGTCATAGATTCAGGTTTGTCAAAGGCAGTAAAACTGTTCCATACAGAGTTGTAAATTGATTGTCCTTATAATGTGGTTTTTATTTTTATTTAATCAAATTTAATAAAGTGAACAAGTGACCTTAAGGCAATGGACTAGATCTTGATTATTCCGTGTAACAAATATCCTGCATTATACTTCTTACAGTACAATATATTACTTTTTTTTTTATCCAGAAGGGAATTCAACAGAATTTTCAGACATCTGTAAACACATTTATGATTTCATTCTGTCTTCTGAACTATTGTTATATGACTTGATGAAACTTGAGACTGTTAAGTTGCTAATATTGATGACATAATTGAATGTTTCTTTTCTCTTTAATTTATTTAAAACTTCTAAAATCTGGATGAAAAATGACATAAATTGTATAAACCACATAAATTTCTTTAGATAAGATTTATTTTAAGTCTTCTGTTTTAAGTTTATAGAAGAAAAATAGAACTTTCACACTTTGCAAGGTATGTGTAGCCCAAAGCTCCTTTACTGTTTGTCTGGGAAATGCTCTGCATCTTTTCCAGTGGGATAAACTTAGCCTTTTACTGAAGATACTAAAATGATCAGGAAGCTGCTGGAATTCAACTAGGCCATCTAGGCTGAAGGCTTCTCTTGCAGAAATGAGATATGGAATAACAATAATGTTGCTTAACAACTTCTGTACGAAAGGGTTTTTTAAGCTTTGCACTACAGTGCAGTCTGTAACCACTTCCCCCTGCCCTGAGTTTATGCACAAAAACAAAATTATGAGCTTGATTAGAATAAACTTTAAGTTTTTGGTTTTTAAAATTTGGAAGTTGAGCACTTTGAGCACTTGCCTTCATATAGTGTCCTGATTAATGTATCTACTGACACTAATCCATATGCATTTCTAGTTCTTACTCTTCACTTGTCTCTTGCAGTACTGTCTGGGCAAGATTCCTGAATCATCATGGCAAAATTATCGCTCCTCAGTGATAAGAGGCCATAATGTATCTTTCACTCTCTGGATCACTTACCTTATGGGGTGATGCAGGAAGAGAAGCAGATCTGAAGAGCTATAAGTAGGATGCTGAGAAGGAGTGGAACAGATCAGGGAATAGACTGATGCTGGCTGTGTGCCTGTTGTACTAATATAGTGCACTCTGTGCCAAATACAGTTCATTTCCTTCCTGAAATACTGAAAAAATTGAGGGAGAATATGCAGTCCAAAGTATGGCTTGTGACACAGCTGTAGTCAAGTCTTGCACAATTTGCAGAACCAGACTAATCTGGTACGCGATTAAAGATTTTCAGCCTTGTCTGTTTAGCTTGAGTTAATGTAGTTGGTTGTTGATTTGTTGACTCATGATAACCTCTGGTGTGAACAAGCCCTTCTGCTTGGAATTTATTAGCATTGGTGCAGAACTCTGAATGTACCAAGAGCTTTCAGTTCTGAAGTTAGTTTGGTCACAGTGTGGTATTGGTGTGGAGCAGTACAGCATGAGCCATATCCAAAGGATCTCATGTTCCAAGACCTTTGTTCACTGTTGCTTTCAGACAGGACCCAAGTGGTGCAACTCAAAAGATGAGGGTTGGCTAAAACTTGCTGGAGACGTAACAGCATGATGAGAAAAAGAATTTCAAGGTTAGGAGGATACTTGGAGTCTGTGCATTTGGTTATGAACTCAGTGGGTCAGTCTTGGCATCAAGTGGGGTACCCTCTTACCATTCCAGAAAAAGTCTGTTTTGCAAAATCAAGTCTTGCTATGACTTCTAGAAACACACTAGTTGTAAGACCAGTGTAGGTCTGCAGCTTTCTGGTTGGAGGTCAATAGTTTGGAATTTTGCAGGTGGTGTTTGCAGTCTGTCTGTCTGTTCCGAGGATCCCTGGCCATGGATTTGTGCACTGTTGGGCTAGCTGTTCTTCGTTTATCCTTTTTGGAAACTCTTACACTTTGACACTTTTTGTGGCCATCCACCAGCAAACCATAATGCCACAATACTTAGGGTTTTTAAACTTAAATGTGGCAGTCAGCATGTGGTAGGTGTGCTCACAAGAGATGTCCATGTAAGTCTGTCACAGACCATTGCCAAAATGGTTTAGAAATGGTAATAAAGGAACTGGAGCTCCTAATATTTTTTTATTTGGTAGTTTGCTTTTTATTTTTCCCCCCGGTGATTTGAGAGGTGTAATCAGATCTCAATCATCTTAAAAGAGTTACCTAGATTTATTGAAATCATTATATGTATAAAGAATATGGGTACATGCATCTGCCTGTGTGTGTATCCAAGTGTATGCAGAATAAAATCCTTAGCATCCCACAAGATGCTAAAAATATAAGGAAACTTAGTATTTGCCTTCAGAATTTTGGTGTCATTGATTGAGGAAACATGGGGAGGTGATGGATTATTTTCTAAGCCAATGCAGTGTCTACAGCTCTGCTGATAATTTCTGAATATATTCAGACTTCGGGATGATATTTAAAGACTGCTTTGAAAGAGAAGTAACTTCTTTAATGCAGAAATACTTAAATTAGTATTTGTAGCCTTGGTGAAATTTGGCTGTTTCATGATACAGCAGCTATGGAGTCATCAGTGTTTTATTTCTGTTTTATCGTAGACTATGTAATGATACAGATATTTGAATAATTTCTTTTACTCTGTATGTTCAAGACACTTAAAACAAGCTAAATGGCCACTCAGGTATATGGAAATAGGTACAAGTTTTAGACCAACTGAAAAAATTTGGCAGGAGGTTTTTTTTTGCCAGTGCCTGTGTGGGCATTCCTCACTTTGCTCATGGTAGCAGACCCCCCGGCCTTGGGGACCAGGGCTTTTTTTTCCCCTCCCAAGCCCAAGGACCCCAGCTGTTGTGATTCGGTGTCTGCAGGCCCATAGGAATACAAAACAATCCCTGTGTGCACCTACACACAGTGCAGACAGTAAACACGTGGTCAGCCACAAAACAATAGGGGCAGAGTGCAGTGCCTTTCTTGGCACCTGTGTAAACACAGGCTGTGCTCAGCTACTGCAGCTGGCCAGGATTGAATGTCACCTGTGGGGTGTGCACACTCCTGCAGCCTGCGGCTCTGGTGGCTGCTGTGTGTGCCAGGCAGTGACACATCCAGCCTGTGTCTCCCAGTTGCTGGGCCCTAGACCCTCAATCCCTCAGACATGGTCCTGCCCCAGTGGCTCATGCTCTTATTGTCCTGCTCATGGGCTAGTCTCACTTGATGTTTGCTAGGCTTGACACATTCATGCAGACAGAGCAGTCAGAAACAGGGTGCAATAAGAACATCTGATGGACTGCAGCAGTGAAGTGCAAGGCTTGCACAACGAAGTGTAATGGGTGAGCTGTCTACATGGGATTGGCCCCATTTATCTTCGGCATCCTTGGTTTTGCCATGCCTGTTTCTCTCCAGTCTACCTTAGTCCCTCCTTTTACACACCCTTGGTACTTCCCTTAAATATTTGCACATTGCTGCAAAACTTAAAAAAATAAAATCCCATAATAAATTCTGCATAATCCCCAGATTCTCTCTCGTGTCTCTAAATTCATATTCCCTTGTATCACATACAAAGTCTTATGCCCCTTTAGGTAATCCCTCAGTTTGCACAGTTTTCTAGGGAGCTTCCTACACTTGTTTCAGTGGGTTTTGCACCAGGAGCAGTGATCTGAATCATTCCCCTTCCATGTCTTTAGGACTAGTGAGTCTGTGCACTCGGTTTTCTCTAATTGTTCTTCTGAGTCTTGCCATGGTTTTGTGTTTAATTGCTTAGCCTTTAGCCAGATAGCCTAATGTGCTCTGTTACATGAAATGTCCCTGCAGTACCTTCTGATCCCACTGACTAGGCCAAGAATGTGGCAGTTGCAGTAGGACTCATCTTGCTTAGTTGTCTACAGTGCAGGCACAGTGAACAGCTTTGCATACCTGATCTCACTCTATGCTTGAGGGAGATAAGCAGTTATTTTAGGGGATGTTTCTCCCATGCTTCGGACACTTATTATTTAAAACTTTGTTGTATTTTATAATTAACATTGTGATACAAAAGGTGACTAGTTATCTTGTGAATATCTGTCTAGGTTTGTACAGAATTGCATACAGAGGCGATTAGGTGTAAGAGGAGAATAAAACAGCAACGAGTGAATACCTTTTGCACCTTCAAGAAGTTCTTGTCTGTTATTCAGCATCACAAAAGTCTAAAAATGTTTGAAGACAGATGAATGAGGTTTTGTAAGTGAGGACAAAGAAATTTCTGTGGATAATGGTTTGTGGGAAATGAGCTCAGGGTTATACTAGAGAAAGGCAGTAAGGAGTTTGAGGAAGGGGGACTTTAATTAGAAAGAAAAGGCTATGATGTGCTCACCTAGGACTTCTGGGGCTTTAGAAGGTATGTGAAGAATTCTAGGACAAAATCAAAGATCATAGTTCAAATACCACTGACTAAAACTGCTGAAAGTGTCATTCATTCCATACTGTATTAAATGAAAAAAATACACACTTCCTTTCTGTTGAAGATCGTGTTCTTTATAGACAGTTTTAAACAAATTTAAGGACTTATTTCCAGAAGTAATGAGTAATTACTGTTATATTGACTTTAAGTGGAGCTGCTGTTTTTCATTGCCTTGAAATTCTGATCTGGGATCTCTATGGATTTTAGAGTATAAAGTGGAAGAGTTTGGGTTTTGAAGTTTTTGTTTTATTAATAAATGTTAGTGTACTTAGCG